GTCAAAATGTCAATATTGTCAAATTATTCCCAACTTGATCTACAGATTCAGTATAATATCAATCAAAACCCAAATGTTATTTTTTCAGATATTACTGAAATGGTTCTAATTCATATTTAGAATGACTAAGACCCAGAAAATCCAGCACAGTATTGAAGAAGAATAGGTCAAGATACTCACTCTACCTAAGTTCAAGTTTACTCTAATCCTATGCTAATCAAAATAGTGTGATATAATGAAAAAATAGACAAAGAGTTCCACGGAACAGACTAGAGAGCCTTACAAAATCAGAAGATACAATTAACAGATTTTCACAAGGAAATGAAGCTAAGATAGAGAGAAAACAGAGTTTTTCTTAACATGGCTAATCCATTCTTTAATGAAAACGATAATATGAACTACTCATCTATATGCCAAAAAATATGAAATTAGTCCTTATACACTTCATAAAAATTAACTCAAAATGAAATGTAATCTTAAATGTAAAATTAAAGAAATCCCTAGGAAATAATATGGGAAAAAGCCCAAGTGACTTGGCTATGGTGGGTATATTTTAGATAAAACAACCAATGAATTATCTATGAAAGAAATAGTGGACATGTTGTACTTCATTAATTTTTTCAAAGTCTATTTTTTTTCAAGATATTGTCAAGAGAAAAAGAAGTTAAGTCAGACACTGGAGAAAATATTTGCAAAGAGCAAACCTTAAAAAAAAAGTGAAATGGTTGATTTTATGTGCCAACTTCACTCGGCCACGGACAGCCCACATATATGGTTAAAAATTATTCCTGGGTGTCTCTGTGAGAATATTGCTACATATTCATATTTTAATTGTAAGGATCAGTAAAGCAGAGGTCCATTCCCAGTATAGGTGAGCATCATTTAATTTATTAGGACCCTGAAAGGAGTAAAATATAAAGCAAGGGAGAATATGCCCCTTCAGATGCCAGAACAAAGCTGGGTCTTTGTTCTTCTACAGTTGAACTAGACTTTCTATCATCAACACTCTTGATTTTGACATTCAAATATGGACTGGTATCCAGGTATGGTGGGACATGCCTGTAATACCAGTGGATCCAGAGGCTGAGGCAGAAGGATTGCAAGCTCAAAGCCAGCTTCAGCCAGCCTCAGTAACTTAGAGAGATTCTGTCTCAAAATAAAAAATAATAAAGGGCTGAGGATGTGATTCCATGGTTAAGAGCCTCTGAGTTCAATCACTGGTATAAAATTAAAATTAAAAAAAAGCTTGAGGATAATAACTATAGAATTTTTCAACCTTCACCATTATCTGAGAAAATTTATCTTCATGATTTGCTTTTTATCTATCTGTCTATCTATCTGGCAAATTATGGATTCTGATTCTCCAGAGAACCATGAATAATGAAGACTGCTTCATATATATCACAATACATAAGCTAAAGCAAATTTAAAATTCAAAAGCAATAAAAAAGTGGAAAAATATATTTTTAAGTGGTCCAAAGACCAAACCAGACACTTTATGAAATAAGGTATATAGATGGCAAATTAATATATGAAGATATTCAACATCATATATTATTAGGGAGATGAAAGTCAATACTTTAATTAATCAGACACCACTATGCACCTATTTAATTAATTGAAATCAAGAGCCCTTAAAACAACAAGTGTTGGCTAGGTTATTGAGCAACAAGATAGTCATCATTGGTGGTAAAGACTACTATACAACCACAGTAGAAGACAGTTTGAGAGTTTCTAACAAAACTAACTCTACTCATACCATGTTATTTGACATTCACATCCTGGCATATACTGAAATGAGTTGAAACCTGATATTCACACAAAAATCTCTGCACGGAATTTTAGTACAATTTTAATTATAATTCTGAAATACAGCAGCAATCAATATATTCTTCAGTAAATCAATATGTACATAACTGGCAGTGCATCCATGTATGGGATATTAGTCACCACTAAAAAGAATGATCTGAACTATCAAGCTATAGAATGATAGGGAGAAATTTAAGTGGATATTTTTAAATGAAATAAGACATCTGAATGAGTAACTCCTGCATATTTCAATTATATATCATTCTGGAAAAGGCAAAACTGTCAAGACTATAAAAATATTTTTTTTTCTAGAGATTGGTAGAAATAAGGATTGAATAAGTTGAGAAAGACAATTTACATAGTATTTTAACTATTCTATGTGATAATCTAATGTGGACACAGGTATTTTTTATTATTATTAGAATTCATAGAATGCACAACACCAAAAATGAGACTAAATGTACAATCCAACTTCAAGTGATAATGATGTGCTGAAGTAACTTCATCAGTTGTAACAAAGGTACCAACTTGGGGGGAGATGTCTATAGTGTGCAAGTCTGTGTGTGAAAAGGGGAGGGAGAAAATGGGAGTCTCCGTACTTTTCAATTTTGCTGTGAGTCAAACTAAAATTCTATTTAAAAAAAAATGACTGTGCACTGTTTATGCTCCAGGCCATCTGCTTTCATATACCTGGGCTTCAGGTTAGATGAGAATAGCCTGCCCTGGACTGTGTTTCTATGGAAAGTTGACTGTGGCACTCCCAGTTGCCAACAGGACTCTAGGGGTCCTGGCTAAACTCATGCAACAAGGCCATCTTCAGGTCAATGTGGATTTTGATGATCCAGACATACTGGCTACTGCAAAGCATTTGTCAGCTTATTTCCTTTCCTTTACACTGACAAGTAAGTGTCTGCCCTATAAAAAATAAAAGCACCCTACTGAAATGATGAAGGTTCATAGGATACAACAGGGCATCTCCCTGGTTTTCCTTTTCTGGTCCTCTTAAATGACCAATATTCAAATTACACATTAAAGAGATATCTATAAAGTTACTCTGCAAGGATGGGTGATGGGTTTTATCTTTAGATATATAGAGCTTGAAAGCCTTATTTTACTGATTATGCAGTAGAAGATCATCCTTGACAACATCCTCACACTCCTTCCCATCTGAGTAAATTTCCATTTATAATTTATTCTTCTCCAAAAAGTCATCTTTATTTTTTTCTCAAATACTAAAAAATATATATCCTTTCTCTAAAACATTTTCAAAAATCCTTTGCTAATTTATTCCTGCATCAATTCAGTGACTACTTATGCAATTATCATATGTGATACAACATTGTTCTTTTTAATAAAGAGGCTTGAGGCTTTGCATATGCATGAATTAGATGAATATCATATTATTAAAATTTATTGTGATAAGAATAATTTTCATTTTTATTTAGCTTCAGGGGGTTTTCCTATACTTTCTCAGTTACATGTTCACAAGGTTTGAAAGTCCTGGAATCATCTTTTCATGCCAGAGGCTCTCCTCTCAAAGTTATTACACAGAAAATTCATTCAGAAAAAAGAAGAAGAACAACAGCAACAACAAGAAGAAAAGAGATGTGGTCTACAGTCCCATATATTTTCTCTCATATGTGGAAGCTAGAAAGAAAAAATAAATGTTTTGTTTTTGGTACCATGAATTGAACCCAGGGGGTCTTAACCACTGTGCCACATCCCCATCCTAAGTCCTTTGTTATATATTTTATTTTGAGACATGGACTCCCTAAAATGCTTAGGGCCTCCTTAAGTTGCTGAGGCTGGCTGTGAACTTGTAATTCTCCTGCCTCAGCTTCCTGAGTTGCTGAGTGCACCACCATGCCCAACTAGAAAAAAATAAATTTAATTAAAAGGACAGGCTCTTCTAAAAACTGAATGGAAAGCAGAATAGAGAAGAATAATTATAATGCACCAGTAAAAAGGGGAGTATTTTTTATAAAGTGATAGATCTTTTCCAATCCTAGGACTTTTTTTTTTCCTGAATATACAACTTCATTTTCTCTGTCATTTCAAGAAATTGTATGTACAAATGTTTGGTAAACTTTACAGTTAAAAGTTTCAATTGGCAACTTCCAACAAATTGTAGCAATAACTAACTAAATGTGAGTTCAAGAGAAGTTCTTTTTGTATAGACATAAATATACATATTTATAATATATATCATCTAGGTGATTTTTTAAAAATTTTTTTAAACAATAGGCTCTCAGTTAACTTGGTCTTCTGTAAAATGTGGTTTTGTTTTTTAAATTTAAGACTACTGAAAGGGCTATTGATTTCTGGGGGATACAAAAGGGGTTTATATGTATAAACATTATAAAAAATGGATATATATTTTTTATGCCTTCATTCAATCCAAGTATCCATCATGAAGAAATGCATTAAATGTCTCCCTAGCAATATAAAATTAAAAATGTGACTTTTGCTTTATTTTTAGACTCAATATTGTAACTTTATTTGGCTAAAATACATATCTTATTCTTGATAAATATGTTTTCTGGGGAAATATATTTTTTCTCAATATAAGTTAAAATGCTTCTTTGTTCAAATGTCAACACTCCTGCAATGTTTCCTTCATCAAACTTTGATGACCCTATGAGCAAGCCATGTAAATTGTTCAGTAAGGAAGAAAATTAACCACTGCTTAAATCAGTAATACCTCTTAACTGAGACTTCTGAGAGGAACAATTGTGAAATGCTTAGCCCACTAGCAGAAGGAATCAGGGCAGAGGACTGACCTCAAGGGGCCATCAACCCCAGGAAATGTGGACTGATGGATATCTTAATTAGTCACAAAAAAAAAAAAAATGGTTAGGGATACGTGATTGCAGATAAATGACTCCATAAATCAGTTTTAGTGCATTGTTAAATTGCAGAAGTGTGGATTTCTTTTAAAAATATGCTGTTTAAAAACCATTTCTTAGATCAGTAGAGGAAAGGGAACAGAGGAAGGGAGAAGAGGGGGAAAGGGAGAATAATGGGGACTGAATTAGAGCAAAGTGATCCTATGCTTTATAATTATGTTAAAATAAATTTTAATATTATGTCTAACAAAAGAAAACATTTCTTAAAACATAAAAATATATCTGAGTAGCCTTTCATTTATGTAAAACACACACTGATTATTGTTTAAAATGCATGTATTACAGGAGTTATTAGAACGGCCTTACATAATATGGACAGAGAAGCCAGAGAACACTACTCAGTGGTCATTCAAGCCAAAGACATGGCTGGACAAGTTGGAGGGCTTTCTGGATCTACTACAGTCAACATCACCTTGACAGATGTCAATGACAACCCACCACGGTTTCCACAGAGTAGGTACCTTTTTCCTAGGATTTGAATATTTTACTACGCATTTATGTAAAACAAAATGAAATCCCTGAATATATAGTGCTTTGTTGTCTTCTGTGGGGATATTTTGCTTTTGTAGCTCTTGATTTTCCTATGGTGTTATCTCTAGTCAAAAGTTAAGACTATCGAAATCTCTCAATCCTGAACCTGCTATATAATGGATATCAGATGAAAAATGTGAATTTCTGCTGGCATCAAAGTTAACCATTCAAAACAGTCAAGTGGTGCTAAGTTACAATATCCTACATTTGCCAAAATAGTTATGCATTATTACAGCTTTCATGAAGATGTTTACAGTGCATTTTGTTATCGTAATTTTTGAATGTGTTTATGCAGATATAGATACATTTATGGTATGAATGATTGCTTTATGCATACATGTACACATACACTGGTATCACATAAAAGACCATTACAAATAATTTAATTACATGTGATCTCAGAATAGAATATCCATCTTGAAAACAGATCATGATCCAAAAGGCAATTCAGGGAAACAAGGCAAGTATTTATTCTGTGACTTTGGAAGGAGGTGGTGTTCATCCATCTTCAGAATATAGAGGATATAATTATATTATATTTTTGAGTATTTTTAATATGGCAGTACTGTGGATAACCACTCATAGAATGATCCTTAATTAACATAAAAATCCAATTGGGGTTTACTATAGATGTCCATCCTACCAAATGATGTTTAAAACCTGTAATTGAGTAGGTATGCTGGTATTTCAGCAAAGGCTCATCACAAGTCAGTATGAGATTCCTTTCCTAAGGTTCCTTCTTAATGTTGTTCTCAGTATATCCAGGCCTAACTACAATGAAATATTGTGTATTCCTAAAGCATAACAATGCTTTTCACAAACTTATTTTGACTGGGATCATCCTGTGCTCATACTGTTTAAAATTCCTGCTAAATTTCTCTGTAATATCTGTTGCAGATGAGTTGCTTCTTTTGATTTCCTCTTGACATGGCACTTTTGCATGCATGTTTATCTGTTCTAAGTCCCTGTGTCCTCTATCACTATGAGGGCCTCTAAGTATGAAAGAATTTTGATTTGTTTTTGTAATACTACTTGTTCAAGCCAGTGACCAGAACTAGATCAATGACTGTTAAATGAATGAGTGAATTAGTTGAATTTAAATACCCCATCAAAATTTTATTATTAAAAAGACAGCCAAGTTTATAGTTACATGAAAATCACTTAAACATATTGGTGCTGGAGATAAGAGTATGTGAATAGGTTCACTTGTGGCCTTTGCTCTATGAAGTATGTACGAAAGAAACTCGTAGATCATAGATGGGTCTACATTACATTTAACTTTAGATATAATTAAATTGCAAAATGTTTTAAAAATTACACTGTACATTTTTATCTATTTTATCACTTAATTTACATAATGGAAGCACATGTGCACACACATACACACACATACATATATATTACTGAGACAAGGGCCGTTATTTCATATGATATGACAATTAAAATTGGAAGTCTTTTTTAAACTTAGGATTCCAGAAGTTAATTCTCCTACTTAATTTTAATTTTATATTCATCAACCAATGAATTCTAGTATTCTATTGCCTAGTAGGTATCTAGGGTTAATAATATCACTTTTGGGGGAAGCGGTACTGGAGATTGAAATCAGGGGGACTCAACCACTGAGCCACATCTCTATTCCTATTTTGTATTTCATTTAGAGATAGGGTCTGGCTGAGTTGCTTAGGGTCTTGCTAAATTGCTGAGGCTGGCTTTGAACTCAAGATGCTCCTGTCTCAGCCTCCTGAGCCACTGCACTCAGCAATAATATTACATTTAATGTTTCAAAATAGCTAGAAAATAGAGATTTGAATGTTCTCAACACATATAAATGATAAATGTTTAGGATGATAGATATGCTAAATGTTCTCATTTGATTATTACAATATGTGTACTGAAAATATCATGGAATCTGAAGTTCAGATTAAGCTAATTAGATTTCTAATCTACCAATTTACATTCTATGTGGCAATTGATAGGATAATAAAGGGTAACATCTGAAGTAAATCTGAAATTCTCAAATCAACTAGAAAACAGAGAATGGGAAATATTACAAATATATTTTATTCAGCCTTCATTAAAGACACATTTTTATCTTATGTCATGAAATTTAGTAATAAAATGATAGCTTATCTTTATTACATATTTATTAAACTAAAAAAGGCAAATATGACTACAGAATATATTCTTTCAGAAAAATAAATATTAAGTGACTTTTTTTAATTTTGAAGTTGGACATTTTGAAATAATTTTGGGTTATGTACCTAGGAATTTACCTGAGTATGCGAATCATTTGTGATTTAAAAAATCTATTTGGTTATATTCTATGACAAAGTTATACATTCTATCTTCTTTTATTGCTTATTTTACATGGATATCTGTGTTTATGGTTATAAGGATATATTTTTATAAATAATTTGAGTATTATCAGTTAGTATTTATAAATCATTTTGTAATTCTTCACAGGACTTTTTTAATAAAACAGTGCTGACTTTTTAATTGAATTTTATAAGTTTTCATTCTTTCTTCCAGTAATTTACAAATGACTTTTGCAATAAAAAGTGAGAAAATACTTTTTTTAATAATTGAGTTACCTTACCAATATTTTAAAGACAATTATCATTCCTAGAGGAAAATCAGCTTTGTGCATGCTGACACATAGGAACAGAATATGTTAAGTTATGCTATTTTAAATATATTCCAAGGAACTAATACAGGATAATTACCCTCTTATGTGTGATATTCAAGTAGCCATCTTTATACTACATAGTATTTATGTATTAGAAACATCTTAGGTAGAGCCTAACTTCTTTCTTCTTTCTTTGAATTTTACTGTTTTGTTTATGAAGATGTTAGTTATACATAATAGCAGTATTCGATATGATGTATTAAAAATGCACATAAAATAATTTTATTCTGTTTACTTCACCCCCCACAGATCCTTTTTCTCTAATTTCTGGGTCTTCTTGATGATCCATAATTAGTACTCAACATAGGTTCCTTCGATTAAAAAGAAATTCCAGATTACATGTGTTTTTTTTTCTTCTTTTTTCAAAGTAGCATCTGAGCATAAAGCTGTATTTACATAAAAAATTTAAAACAGATATTTAAAATCTTTCTGCTTAATCTTATCAACAAAGACAAACCAGTTAAGTCCTTGTTTCTAACCACTTACAATGTCAATTTTCCCTAAGAAACATTTATATTTTTTCTCTTTTCCCAAGTAAATACTCTTCATATAAGACAAATGATAAATGAGTTGAATAAATGTAATGATCACATTAATTACAGCTTTTTTAGGCTGGAGATCAGGTATACTTAGGAAATATTCCATGTACTCATCTGGCAAAGTTACTGAAGTAAAGATACACATTCTTTTAAAAATCAATTAGAGTCAATACTGTCCTGGGAGGAAAAAGTATATTAAATGGGACAAGCTTCAGTGAGCCAAATTCCCTTTTATTATTCCCACCAAGTCTTCCTTTCTTCAGTTTACTACAGTTAACCTTTACTATTTTATGATGCAGTCTAAGAAATCATGTGCAAAAGATCACATATGGTGAATAAAATTATGGCACATTCAGAAACAAAAATATGAAATAATGAGATCTGTATGTCTATGATGCTATAATTCTAGCTCTGTTTGAAGACATTAAAAGAAAAATTCATTAATGAGGTAGGAGTTAGCAATATGAAAGTTTCACACATATTCAAAATATGATGAAAAGACTTTATTAGTATAGTACATATAGTTTGATGCCTGAAGCACAACAGTGTGCCTTGCCTTACTTGGTAACTCAAAAATTCTAACCTTCCTATTGAAAAGTCAAGTAAAACTAACATTTTGAAGGTAGTTATAGTTTAGCAATTATGTTACTCACTTTGGGGGATCAGATTTTTCTCGTCATTTTTAACTCCCTGCATTTGTGGCATCTCTTATTAATTTTCCAGTTCTGAAGAAAGGTTCAAACATTAAACTTTCATGTCTGCATTTTATTTTTATATTGTGGTGTTCTATATTTGTATGTACACACATATACATACATCTATATATCTATCAATAGGTACAAATGCATACAGTAAAGGAATTTTTGTCTTAATATTCCTAAAGAATATAGGTACTTATTTGTCTTTTCTCATGTAGGTATAAGTTCATAAGTTATTGTGCTTTACTTTGTTGTGATTTGCAGTTATTAACTTTTTTTTAATAAACTGAGGTTTGTGATAACAATGTTTCACCAAAAGCATATACTCACTTCATGTCTCTGTGTTACATTGTGGCAATTCCCATAATATTTCCAATTTTGTCATTATTATTATCTCTCTCATAGTGATCTGTGACAAGTGAATTTAGTGTTACTATGATAATTGGTTTGGAGTGACACATAGCAACCTATCTCACTTAATGCATAAGTGTTTTGCGTATGTTCTGACTGTTCATCCCTCTCCCTTTCCTTGGGCTTCCCAATTCCCAGAGACACAACAATATTGAACTTAGGACAATCTATAACACTATAACCCCCATAAGTGTTCCAGTAAAGGAAAGAGTCACATGTCTTTCACTTTAACTTAAAAAGTGGAATTTAGTAAGCTTAGTGAGAAACATTCAAAGCCAAGATAAACAGAAAACCAGGCTTCTTGCATCAGTCAATTTGTGAAGGCAAAAAACAAATTTCTTGAAGGGAATCTAAGTGCTGCTACTCCAGCAAACACAAATATGATAGGCAAATAGGATTTTTGCTGATAATAAGAAACTTTTTTTCTGGTTAGAATAGGGGATCAAACCAGCCACAATGCCAAAAGCCAAAGCCTAATCCAAAGTAAGGCCCTAATTCTCTTCAGTTCTTTGAAGGCTAAGAGACAAAGCTCTCCATGACTAGGAGAGACTGGTTTGTAAGGTTTGAAGAAACAAGTTGTCTTTATAA